ATTATAGGGGTACTTCTCGTGAACCATTTTTTTTACTTACAAACGATTAAAAACGGGGGTGGGGACGTGCCAAGTGTAAATGTCAGGGGGGGGGGTAGGGGTTGGGCAACAATGGGTGCTGATATCGTTGTGACAGGGGGTAGTAGATAATTGTCCTAGTCTAGAAGGGGTAGGGTAAAAATGAAGAGCGGTGATGCTGGATATGGTTGGGGTACTTGAAGGAGATATCAGGGGTGAGGTGAAATTTACAAAGTGATATATTATGTGAGGGGGTGGGGTGATCAAATGGATGGGGGCTGGGGTCATTATTGTGTAGTAGTTGGCCAAAGGGGTAGGGTAGTAAGGTAGTCGGGGTACTATGAATGCCAAGGACAAGAGGAAAGGACGAGATGGGAGGAGAGGAGTGAGAAGGATGGACGAGAGGTTGTTGTTGCGATGGAGTTGCGGCCAGAGGGAGCCGGAAGGTATGTTGGTAGGTGTCAAGACCTGGCTTCCATGTCTGACAGGCAGTTCCGGGCGGAACAGCACTAGTAAAGCGATGCTGCTGATTTAGAGGTACACAGTCGGAACAGCGAGGCAAGAGACATGTACATTGTTTTCTCATGATCAATGATGCAAAGCGTATATATTCATGTTCCAAACGAGTATTGTGGCTGATTTCAAACCGACAATCTCTCTAATCTTTGAGGTTCCTTGCCAGGTTCGTGACAGAATCATGGCGAACAACATTCCGATTGACCCGGGATTCCCCGGGAATACAAGTCCACAACAAAACAAATGCATGGATGAGGTAAATCCCTCTGATCTTTGACAGAAAAATCCTCAACTGAATGATGTGTTTAGCTTCTTGCGTCCATTCAGGATCAGATAACAACTCCAGTGGGCGAAAAGTTGGTAGCGAAAATGGGGGGCAAAGATTATTTTCTATGTCGCTTGCTGAGAGCGAGGAACTGGGATGTTGCGGCGTCGACCAAGCTATGCCAGGAAATAGTCAGCTACAGGTCGCAGCACAAGCTTGATTTCATCTTGGAGAAGGTCATTGGCGACCAGCCCCTTCAAGATGGGAAAGACTTGAACTGGCGTCCAGAGATCTATGACGAGGGAGTGAAGCGAGTGCTTCCTTACATCCCATGCGGAAAGGCATGGCTACACCTCGATGGGACAGCCTATCGAGATATGGAGGATCAACAGGCTCAGCCCAGCGACATTCTACACAAGTGCTCGTCGGAGGACATCTGGCATTGGTGGCACTTCCACCTGGAGGCGGGGATGAAGGCCACGCTGGATGGAGCCGCTCTTTACAACGCGCCCTTGAAGGGTGCCATCCTTGTGTTCGACCTCAAGGGCTTCGGTGCCCGCCATCTCAACACGACTTGCATCAGGCTCCTGGCACAGCTCTTCAGCATCGGCCAGTCGAAATTCCCCGAGAGCCTGAGCAGGATCTTCGTCCTCAATGCCCCGACGCTGTTCTCTGGTGTGTGGAATTCCGTGAAGGGCGTCTTGAACGAGCGAACTCGAAAGAAGGTGGTGATGACGAACAAGGGGATGCATGATGACCTCAAGGCCATAATCCCATCCGACATCATGCCAGATTTTCTTGGGGGCACATGCCCGTGTAACGTCGGAGAGCGCATTGGATCTGGTGGATTGGCATTCACTGCGGTGAATGTAGCTGCAAGGAACGTTCACAAGGTTGCTGTGCAGGTTCCGCAGGGAGGTTACCTTGGTTGGGAGTTTTACACAGAAGGCAAAGACATCAAGTTTGGTGTGTTCTACTTCCAACCCAACACATACAAGGACAACACGACCAATTTCACGTCCGGAGAGGTGGTGAAGGAGCTGTCTAAGTCCGAAAACAAGGGGGATTGCGTCATGGACACTTTGGCAGACTTGAAGGCTGGTACGTACGTCTTGGTATTTGACAACAGCTACTCGATGATGACCTCCAAAGAATTGAGGTGAACCCCTCTTGCAATTTTATTGTTTGCCTATGACGCTTGTGTCAAACAGGTACTGTATTGATTCAGGAGCTGCTAGTGAAGATATGACGGTAAGCTTGCTATTCCCGTGTCCATCCTTGTGAAATTTTTGATGGTAGATCCCTGGCAACCCTCAATCTGGAAGGGCGATAGGAGAGTCAGTGGTGACAGGAATTCCCACCCCTCCACAGACGCCCACAGCAGCCCAATAAGATAGATCGAACACGTGTACTTTCTTGTTTCTAGTCTTCGCTACCTTGTTAATAACAGGAAGACAAAGGAAAAACCATTGATTCTCCAGGTAGGCTGCACACAAATTGGAGAACAAAGATGTGAAACAGTCACGTGACCCGTGCTCTATTCAACAATGCTTCAATCTAGATAACAGTCTTGCTCAAAAGAATCTCATTCTTTCTTGTTATTTGCGGCCCTTTGTTTCCGAGAGTTCCATCCGATCAATATAACAATACAAAGGCTCAGGAACAACAAACCAGCGCTACCAGCGGGTTGGCGAGCAAGAATCGAAAGAAGCGCGTTCCAATATCTACTCTCTCTTCAAGGGACCAGCCGTACACGCTCCATCGGATCTTGTTGGCTGTGACTGGAGTAACAAGGTGCCATCTCGGAACTTTGAACGTCACCAGCGAGTTCCAGGATGGGGAGTACGTAGGGTGATTCTTGTCCTCCTCATCCATGAAGAGACCCCCGTCCTCAGCAGACCACTCCTCGTTCAGGTAGAGGATGAAAGCTCTCTTCCTGTCGTACCTGTCGTTCCCATCCAGGGTCACCACGCCTCCATCGGTATGGGAAGTTACGAAGGAGCCCTGGGAGTACTTCCCCACGAAGAGAGACAGCTTCTGGCCTTCTCCTTGAAAGAGATCAGTGAAATAAGGCTCCAACTGTTGCCTCAGCCACACCAACTCTTTGCCTTGCAGGTCAAGCATCTTGTAATCCATCTCAACTGTAGCCCTCTTCGTGACGTTGTGTTTGCCGAACACCCTGGCTCTCTTGTTGTCTATCTGTACCCATTGATTATCTGGGATCTTACGAATCGTGGACACAATCAGTCTTGCTTCTTCATCTTTGAGGTAGTTCTTGATGACTGACATTTCTTCGTTCTCGATCCCTTCCCTGGTCGCCATGCCGTCCCACCTTCCGCACATTCCTCTCCCGCACTGCCACTGTACTTCTTCTTTACCGAGCTTAGCGTTCTTGATCTGCTTAGTCACATCCACCTTCGCTTCTCTTCCCTCCCCTGATACCATCCAGCCCCCTACCGTCACCATACACACCAGCACCGATACCCTCCCCATTGCGGCTCCTTGAACCTATCCTAGCACGAGGACAGCAAACGAAAGATCAGTCCGAAAATTGCTGTCTTTTCAAACGGATATTTATCTGAGGCGGGCTTGATAGCGGCCAGTCGCAGTTGTCTCCGGCCCTACCCCGGTAGTATTCGTACCACTACCCCCCTTCCTTCCTTCTACCACCCCCTCCCGCTGTTGCTTCGTGAGGTCCGTTTTCTGAGCTAGGAACTCGCGGATGTATCAGGCTTTACATCGTCGCCGCACTGCCGCTCCATGCTCTTTGCTGCCTTGCTGCTCTCCCTCCTGCTCTCCCTACTGGCCCCACCCTCCTCGCAGGCTTCCTCGTGGCAACTTGCCTGCAAGCTCACCTGGCACGAGGGAGGCCTGACCAACTTCAGCACGTTCTTTGATGGCAACATTCCCCTATCGTTCCAGCAGCTTGGAGTCTTCTATGCATCACTTACATCAACGGGTGTTCCTTCCTACACCCTGAGAAACAGGAATGGCGTGTTTGTCTCCTCCTTCCAGGCCAGCTGGTACTTTTCTAATCCGTACCAAATTCAATTCGGCTGCTCAGCGGAGTATACTTACTTGATAGGAATGGCTGCAAACTTCGATTCATCTGCAGAGTGGCAGCTTCTCTACGAGGGTATCATCGAGACTGACTTCGCTGTTGACAGCAGAAACACCTCCAAAGTCTATTCCTTCCAGATGCCGAAGGAGTGCGAATGGCGGTCAGAGAGCTCTGGGTCGTCCCAAGAAGGAACTCTGAATCGAGACTTGTACGATGCCTTGACGTCTGGGAATGTCGACGCAACCATCTCGAGCATGAAGGCTGCTACTCCTAGAAACTTCTACTACAGTCAAGTCCCAGCCATGTATGTCTCACCGTTCTCTGTCGTTGGAAGCTCGCATGTGCCATGTTTTGACTGCCCGTGCTCTCCTGATCCACGCCAGCAGCAGGTTACTGCAGACTCGGGCAGATGTGTCATACAGGCCTGCAACGTGAGCCAGTGCAAGCGCGTTTACTCGGATGCCTTGGCGTCATGCGTGCCTAACGACCTGAACGTCTCGGAGCTTTCCCGGGTTTACTCGCCTCCTCCTCAACCAGCATCAACCGCGCAGCCTCAGTCCTCTGCCAACCAAGATGCTACGGTAGCGAAGCCGTCTGCTTCATCCTCGTCGGCGTGTGGAGTGCATGAGGTCTCGTGGATGGCTCGTTCAGTCATGGCGATATCTCTCGTCGTGTCCTTGTTCACTTGCCGGGCGTAGTCACTCTCGCTGACCGACCCTCGTCATCCGTCACGTAGCTCGTGTGAGTGCTCTGACTTGAAACCTTCGAGTCTTGCTTCATGTTCACGTCATTGTAATTCGACGGCAATAAGATATAAATCCTCTTACAACAGCGACTTCCGCATGCGGCAGTTGCCTCACTTGCTCATTCAACTTGCTTACTTTACTCAAGACCTCAACAGCGCTACCGCTCCGAGTGCGCTTGCACGAAGCTGGCGAGGTCCATCCTGCCTCCTCCCATGTAGATCTCTGCCAGCTGACTTCGGACATCGTCCCATCCCTGTGAGGGACGAAAAGTCACCCCGAGCACGTCGCCGAGCACGTGGCTTACCTTGTATGTTCCCAAACAGACTTCATTCATGATCTAGCCAAAGTTCACATCAGCGATTGGGTTGTTCTCTGTTGTTCAGCTCACATCATCAGCCCGCTCCAACATCGCCTCCTCTTTCGCCTTTTCCAACGGGTGGCCCTGGCGCTACAGGATCAGGCAGGCAGCAGCGGCGGTACATGGCATGCCTGGCTCATCTCGATTGTTCTCGTGCTCTTGGACATCTCCGCAATCTTCTGCTTGAAGGCCTTCACATCTGCCTCGCCCGCCTTGGCCCCAGTCACGCACAGGCGGCAGAGGAAGGGAGCAGATCCACCTGCCGTGACACCTCCTCCACTTGCTCTCCCAGAGTCCTGCAGCTTGTCAGCTCTAGAGCCACAGCCCAGCAAGCTTCTCAACCACAACGGCATCATCAGCGCCAGCTTCGCAGCATCTTTCGCCTCCTTCTCTCTCCCCAGCTGCACGGGCTGGCTCAGCTGAGCTCTACTGGAGCTCGACGAGGCATACCTTTGTGTACAGCAGAGCCTGGAAACGATACCCGCTTCCCCAGCTGACACCAGACAGCATGTCACATGCGCACGGAGCTAGGTAAGGCCCAGCGGCAGGAGCACCCATGTTGAATCTTCGCAGAGCGTTCTGCAGCCACCAGCGCTGCCGTCTGATCACCGCGCTCGAGGTGGTGAAGCGCGAGTTCCTCGTAGAGGTCTGGGAATGCTCCAACCTGCTGCATGCTCAGGGACGCGACGCCCTGTGACAGCACAGACAGGAACCTTGGACAAGATGTACTTGGTCAACCTGCCTAGCACGTCAGGTCGCTACTCCGCATGAGACGTGATAGGCTTACGACAGGCTGGGGGATTTTTCTTTCTTTTCGCCCCTCTGCATTGCCGACAGGTTGGAGAAGATACGGGATCGAGTGAGATAGAGATACCTTGTACAGCTCTCCCGCGCTGTTCGCTGCCTCGATCACCGCTGACTTCTTCCCTTCATCTGCACGCGCGTCATCGATCCCAGTCACACCCCAATCTTGCGAACATCACCCGCAGACTCGTCTGCTTCCACCGCGAGTCTCATGAGGTACTGCGGAGCTCCTTCAGCCGTTCGCACAGGACAGCAGGACGTTAAGACCGATCGTGTGTTCGGAGCCACCAGTCTCAGCCCGGTCTGCCCGGTTGTCTCCACGATAGGAAGCATGTCCCCCTGCAAGGAGGATAAGGAGGACGCTCGGCGTCAGAGCAAGTAGGGACGAGAGGGTGAGATGCACCTTGGAGGCGCTGGGCATCCGGAGCATGCAAGTATGAGATCCTGATGTCGGGCTGACAGCTACGGGAATGACGAGGGGATGCAGATGTCTCCGGTCCTGCCAGCGAGGCAGGAGGAGCCGTCAGAAGCAGCAGGTCCTGCACGGCAGCCTCTCTCACCATGGGGTCCACCCGCCTCATCCCGTGTAACTCAAGAGTCTGGACGAAAGCTGAGAGGTGCGCGCATCGTGTCACGTTCGCACTGGACTCAAGGAAAGCCTTTCAGCAGCAAGTGAGGGAAAGCATTGCGAGACCGCAAGGTTGCCTGTAGCTCCTCCTGACTCCCAGAGCACATCCTCCGCCGTGTCTGCATCAGAGCTGTTCATCGGATTCTTAGCAGACATCCTGAGAGGCACAGGAGAAAGACCTCTCCAAGACCTGATCCTTGGCACGATACATCTCGCCGACATGGCAAGTGCCTCCTGTGAACATCCACAGCGTCATCGCCATGCCCAAGGCAAGACAGGAGGGACTCTGGTCCTGATGTGAAACCGCATCCTCTACTGTAACTGCTCCCACAAGCATGAGAGCTGAACTTCTCTTGCATACAACACACCATGCCCGCCCTACCCTGCCCCCTACAAGGATCCTCCATTGCGATCCTACTACCCCACCCCCCGATTTCCCCAGAGTTCGCACCCTCCCTCATATTAACTGATTTTTCAATTTCTGCGAGGTGCCGATGAGCAAGACTACACTCGCATGTGTTTCATCCAAATGGCAGGTTTACTTTCTTCAATGGACGTGCTCAAAACCTTTATCGAGTGATTGACTGTAGTACAAGAACTTGCCATGATCGTATATGTCATTACTAATAGGCCCATGATGATGTCGGAAGTGAACACACGGCAAGACGACGAGATTCAGACATGGTGCTATCACTCCTGTTGCAGGTGACGGGAGGATAGTTGAACTAACAACATCCAAGTGATTGACTTGTGAAGAAAGGAAGCAGAGTATCGCAGGTCACAATGGTCAGGGAAGGAAACTAAGTGTTGAAGTTTGCAGTTGAGGCCAGAGGGAGGTCGGCCAGCCGGGAGATAAAGAGCTCCTCCTCCTCCTCCTCCTCCTCCTCCTCCTCCTCCTCCTCCTCCTCCTCCTCCTCCTACGCTATCCTCTGCCCTGGCACCATGTGCCGCCACAAGGGCATGAGTGTGAAGAACAACGCCATTGTCCTACGACTGGCCGAGAGGGGGAAAGTACCCCTACCCCATCATTACTATCTAAAGTGAAGAGACTCAGTGGTGGGGTGAACCGAGATAGCAGGGTGGGTCGTTGAAGATGGCCAATTTATGTAGTAGGTTGACCACACCCACCCCCCAAAAGTACCTTACATATGCTGAATGGAAGGGGTAGTTTTAGAATTGGGGTGTTCACACGAAGGGGTGGGGTGGTTGAAATTGGAGGAGATCACTGCAAAGATTTGACAAGGGAGGTTCCTTTCGCCGTGGAGTACCAGGGGTGGGGTATTTTTACTTAGGGTGATAGGGGTAGTCCGAGGTGCAAAAGGTATAGGGCGGGTGGGTACAAAGATAGGTGGGTGGGGGAAAAGCAGGCCTTATCATTAGGGGGGTAGGTACATCAGTGATAGTGAGTGGGGGAGGAGCTTGCAAAGGGGTAGGGTTGCATTTGGGGACTGTATAAATGGTAGGTGGGTGGCACTCAAAAGGTGGGGTGGGGGTTGCTCGTTGAGACTATTTCTAATCAAAGGTAGGGTGGTTTTACTATAAGCACAGGGTCTCTATCTCTTGAGAAGTTTGAGGGTGGGTCCCGAATATCCGGGGGTCCTGCCCTCCACCAAGAAGTTTTACTTCGAGAGGGTGGGTGGTGGAGAAAGGGAATGTAGGGGTGGGTTGTTTGTTGGGGTATTGAGGGTCAGTTGTTCGATGAGATGTATGGCAGGAATGGCGGAGAGGAAGGGAGGGGGAGAGAGAGTGATGGTGGAGAGGAGAGGAGCTGGAGGGTGCAAGAAGGATCGGACAGTCGATGAGTCAGTGGTAAGGATGGTTCAGGAGGGAGAGGGGGATCAGCAACTCGCCAGGGGAGAGTCAACCGACTCGGAATAGAGTACTTTTTGGCAATGCTTCTGAACGTCTTTTGCTCCAGGTCGATCTTACACGGTTTGGCATCTGTCCTTTCATTCGGAAGATGAGGTGGACCAAGATGCGCGCAGTGATCTCGTTATGTACATTGTAGTATCCAAACGCCGTGAAGACGATTGAGTCCATGGCTTCGCGCCTACTTGTGTAAGTAGTTGAAATGACTCTGTACCTTTCGATCCGACCACGCAGGCTTGCAGTTCCAATAATATTCTCACAACAAGCACAACGATGAGAGAAGATTTGCAAACAACTCCATCTTCTACTGAGAGATGATAATGGACAAGAGCGAGATCCACGACACTCTCGAAGAATTAATCGGAGATGAAAATAGCCATGACCTTGATGTTACAGTCCTGAGCGAACGCCATGAGAACGGTAATGGTTATCATGAGGATGGTAATGGTTGTCATGAGAACAGAAATGGTTATCATGTCGATCCTGGTCTCGCCGATGATCAACCTGGCCCTTCGTTCCCAGCCATTGACGAAGATGATGAAGAGCAGCCGCACAGAAGCGTTGGGATACCTCCACAGTTGTGTTTTTGCACTGCCCAGCCTTATGGTTTGGCATACAAGTTACGCCAAGTCTGCATCCAGCTGGACAGCAGCTTTGCATGGAGTTTTTTCGTTTTTTCCATGTCCATGCTAAATTGTTTGGGAGTTACGATCATGGCAGAACTGTACACGGGAGATTACAGGAACAGTGCAGTATTCCACACCCTGTACATTTTTGATGATCTCTGTGTTGGAATACAAGGGATTGAAGTTTTTGTGGGAATATCTGCCAAAGGTTTCAAGACCTGGATCAAGGATGTGTACAACAAGCTGGAGCTCTCTCTACTGTCCACAGCTCTTCTCGGTTTCTGCCTCACTTCTCTTGGGTGGAGATCATTGCTTGTCGAATGTTTCTTAGACTGACTAGCCTCACAGATGGAAGGTCTTTGTATTGCGATCGTTCAGGCTGCTGCGGCTCTTCAAGCTCCTTTCCCGCTTCCAGGCTCTCTCGTACGTCAAGCACATCGTGACGACCTTGGAAGTCGCACTGGTCCAGATGTTCACCGTCTGCTCCATTCTGTTCTTCTTCATGTTGACATACAGGTAGGACGCTCCTCGTCCTCTATGTTGAACTTTTTGTTTATTCTCTACCTTTGACAGCTTGCTCGGCATGTCTGTCTATCAGAGTTCCTTCAAGCGAAGGTGTGTCTCAATGGAGTACCTTAGCCAACCTTGTCAGTCCTACAGCTCACCATGGTCGTCTTCTTGTTCGCTGCCATTCCAATGGGAAAGAGATCCGCTGAGATCGAGCTGGAACGTGTCAGTACCAGGAGGATATCCCTACTTCGAGCTGTGCGATATCATTTCGTTCGACAGCGAGGACTTTCCAAAAGATTACCTAGGTCGACGACACACGTGCCAGGTGCAAATGATCCTTTTCTCTCTCTTTCTTGCCGCGTGACAAGATGCCGTTAAGCTCGCAAGGCACAGAAGAGGCGAGCAAGTAAAGCAGATGTGCACGATCGTGGGATACCCGCCGGTGAGTTCAGCGGGCAGAGAGTCATGCTTGTGGGTTAGAAGCAGCGCTCACGCGAGCGTTCTTGCAGAATCAGTTCGGATACGCGCACTTTGACAACGTCGGATCCGCACTCCTGGCGGTTCTCCAATGGGTGATCGCAGACTCAGCCTATGACATCATGTGGTTCAGCTACGAGAGCGAGTACTATGTCAGGTTCTTGACGTTCCTGCTGTATCCGGCCATCACCATCACCTGCTCTTGGATGCTTCTCGGGATGTTCATCGCGATCGTGACGGGAACCTTCCAGCGAGTCAGAGAAGAAGAGAAGACAAGAACGTCCCAAGTTGCCCCAGAGTAAGAAAACCCCTGCATGTGTGACCTTCTACTGACAGCGAGACTCCGCAGACAGATACTTGAGAAGGTGGTGGACGGGCCTCAGTCCGACAAGAATTTTCTTCAGGAAAGCCTCCCCGCAACTACTGAGACAGCCCAGATGACGATATCCGTTGAGTCGCCCAAGGCGCAGATCCCTATCTCTGAACAGAGGGTGGACATCAAGCAAGAAGCCTGCTGTTCAACTCCGGGGTGGAATGTCTTCAAAGATCGGGCTCTGCTCTTGCAGCAGAGCTCTTACTACCAGCTCTTCTTGTCCTCTATCATCGCTCTACAGACCATCTTCCTTGCGATGGACGACGAGACCTCTCTCTCGAAGATGCCGTTGTCGTTTGTGGTGATCTATTCGACATGCCAGGCAGTCTATGTCTTTGATGTCTTCTTCCAAGCTTTCGTGATGAACCGAATGATGGGGGAGAGTGAAGTAGCCATCATCATCGTCCTCGTTTCCGAGGCTCTCCTTTCACTCCTTGGGATCATCGGCCTGGGGGCGAACTGGAATTTTCTGATCCGCTTGCAATGCATTCGCATCTTCCGCCTGTACAGATACGTCCCTGTGCTACAGGGGCTCATCAACTCAGCAGTGAAGGGAGTTCCTGCAGTGATCAACCTCTGCATCTTCTGCTTCATCTGGATCCTCTGCTTCACTGTGACAGGAAGGTTTCTATTCCGCGACTCCATGAACGATATCACCCGATCAAACTTCTCCTCCTTCGAGATCGGCTTCCTTACAGTCTTCCAGATCTTCACGGGGGACTCTTGGTCCGGCGTGCTGTACAGCGCAATGGCGTCCAAGGATGGTTTCGCAGGGAAGTTTGCAGCAGCGATATTCTTCATTGTCCTGCTGCTCATGAGCAACATAGTTCTCGTGAACCTCTTTGTCTCCGTCGTCATCGAGAACTTCAACTTTGCCGAGACCATCTCGAGCATCGAGGACGGGAAGAACCTTCAGTGGATGAGGAAGCAGTTTGCCAACTATCAGTCGAACCTCCAGGAGTCGCTCAAGGCCATGCAGCCTCGGGTGTCTGCGAGCAACCTGACTCGAACGGACTCGCACGCCTCCTTCCTGCTGACAAACATCTTCGCCAAGGCGAACTTGGCAGACAAGGGGGACAAGGAGTTGAAGGAGAAGGCGAAGGAGAAGAAGTCTTCAGGGGGGAGCGAGGCATCCGCGGCAATGCTCAAGACGGGCTTGTCCACTCGCATTCTTATCAATATGGCGTCCCTGGCGAACCCAAAGGTGCACCTCAAAGACCAGAAGTACGCAGATCGCGTCCTCTTCCTCCTCTCCTCGGATTGGACCGTGAGGAAATTTTCATCAGGTTCGGCAACTCCTTCATCTTTGACTGGATCGTGTACCTCACCATCGTTGTGAGCTGCGTGCTGCTCTGCCTGACGCCGCCCTACGACGACATCCCACACGAGACAGTTCTGATCTCGCCGAAGACGATGAGCATGCTGAACCTGGCGACAACCATTGTTTTCACGCTTGAGTTTGTCGTGCGGATCATGGTGTCCGGGCTGCTGCTCGAGAGCAATGCGTATCTGAGATCGGGCTGGAACCTCGTTGACCTGCTCGTGCTCCTCCTCTCGTGGATGGACGACCTTGCAAGCATGTCGTCGATGAACTCGGCGAAGTCTCTGAGGATCATGCGTATCCTCCGCCCCCTCCGCCTTGTGAAAAAGAACAGAGGGATGAGAACGATCACAAATGCTCTCCTCTCTGCTCTTATCCCGACCTTCTACGTCCTCATCTTCCTCTGCACCATCCTGTTCAGCTTCGGAGTGATCGGGAGAGGGCTGTTCGGCAACCGATTCTACTCCTGCAACGCCTACGACGTGAGCTACCCGGCAGGGAAGGCAGAGTGTAGCGGGATGATACTGAACAAGGACCAGTTGTTTCTCCAACCTCGGGCCTGGGTCAACTACCAGCACAACTTCGACAGCATCGCGTCCGCCATGATCTCTCTGTTCAAGGTCACAACCCTCAAGTACACCGGAACCCTCCAGGCCAGTATGGACGTCACGACCCGTGACCAGAGCCCGAGCACGAACAACTCGACCTACTACGGGCTATACTACGAAGTCTACGTCCTCGTCGGCTCCTTCTTCATCTGGAACCTCTTCGTTGGCTTCGTCGTCGACGGCTTTTACGCCAACAGAGGGTCTGACAAGGTGGACAGCATCTTCCGCCGCTGCCATCGGCTCGTGAGCGAGAGGAAGACCAAGGTCATCGCTGCCCTCCTTCCCCGAGAGCCCTGGAGGGTCATGATCTACGACCTGCTGCGGTCCAAGTGGTACAAGACTTTCTCCATCTCCTGCATCGCCATCAACGTCGTCTTCATGTCAACGCAGCATGCCGACTCGTCTCCTTCCTTCAACCGCATGATGGCCACACAGAACCTCTTCTTCTACGTCCAACTCCTCGTCGAGGTCCTCCTCTCCTTCCTCGGCTTCGGCTTCCGCCACTTCTTCCACGACATCTTCCGCGTCTTCGACCTCATCGTCACCCTCGGCCTCAGCATCGGCTACGCGTCGGGGAGCAGAGAATTCATGGAGTTCGGCAAGTCGTTCCGCCTCCTCCGCATCATCCAGGTCATGTGCATCCTCGGACCCGTCGATCAGATCCTGCAGACTCTGTTGAAGTCGCTCCCTCAGCTCGCCAGCATCTCCGCCCTCATCTTCCTCATCCTAGTCATGTTCGCCTCCCTCGGCGTCCAGCTCTTCGGCATCACCCGAGCTGGTCGCCGACTGGGCCCGACCGCAAACTTCGAGAGCTTCCCCCAGGCTCTGATGACCTGCCTGCAGATCCTGCGAGGGGACGAGTGGCAGGAGCTGCTGGAGGACTCCAAGGTCCAGGCTCCCTCCTGCACCCCGATCTTCGACTCGGCCCACGTCTACGGCTACGAGGGGAAGGACCTGTCCTTCGGGGACTGCGGAGCTTCCGCATGGCTGTCGGACTTGTTCTACATCGGCTTCAAGCTGGTATGCGAGGCTTCGCTCCTCAACCTCATCATCGGAATGATCCTCCAGAACTTCTCTTACATTACTGAGGACGCGTCACATGTGGAGGATGCGGAGTGGTCTACGGGACCTTCCGTGCGGCAGGTGGGACCATTTCGACCACCCGCTCTCTCCTCTCCTCTCCTCTCCTCTCCTCTCCTCTCCTCTCCTCTCCTCTCCTCTCCTCTCCTCTCCTCTCCTCTCCTCTCCTCTCCTCTCCTCTCCTCTCCTCTCCTCTCCTCTCCTCTCCTCTCCTCTCCTCTCCTCTCCTCTCCTCTCCTCTCCTCTCCTCGCTTGTTTTTCGGCATGAGCGTGATCCTGCGGCAGGTGGAGGAGCTTCACGAGATTTTCCTCAGGTTCAGCAACGCTGACGAGATGTTCGACCCCGAGGACACGCTTGTGCTCATGAAGGCCTTTCCTCGTCCTCTCGGATTCCGGACGTCGCAGGAGGGAGATGCAAAGTTTGGGAGGCTGGACAAAGCAGCAGCGAGGCTGGTCCGGGCAGAGTTCAACCTGCTGCTGCGAGAGAGGAGGGGGGACAGGGAGTTCAGAGACAAGAGTGCCATCCCTCTCAGCCGCATCGGCCTCTTCGTCTCCAAGGTCCGGACTTGGTTCGATGGCAGGGATGATTGCACTGAAGGTAGCTCCTCCTCTCCTTCCCTCTCCTCCTCCACTTCCTGCCTGCCTGCCTTCCTCATTCTCATCCTCTTTCCCGTTCTGTCGCTTTTTCTCCTGCTCTACTCCATTGCCTTTCGTATGATCCTGCTCACCCCGTTTGCACCTCTCCCGCATCCTCTCTTCTCCTTTGCAGTCTTTCCCTCTCCCCCCTCCTCCTCTACCGTCTTTCCCTCTCCCCCCTCCTGCTCTACCGTCTTTCCCTCTCCCCCCTCCTCCTCTACCGTCTTTCCCTCTCCCCCCTCCTCCTCTACCGTCTTCCCCTCTCCCCCCTCGTCCTCTACCGTATATCCTCCTTTCTTGACACCGCTGCTTCTCCTTACCGCCTGTCCTCAGTCACGTTCGAGGATGTGGTCACCGTGATGCTCTTTTGGCGCCTCCCCTCGCTGATCCCCGACAATCTCAAACGCGTTCACGCGCGGCGCGTGCAGGAGATTCAGTTCCTCCATCACGCGATCGCTATCAAAGATTTTCTCAGGCGGCAGGTAGCGAGGAGGAAGGAGATTCTCCGCAGGAGCCCCTCGCTGTAGCGGCGAGAGGAGGGTCAATATTCTTTGAGGTTTTACACATGTGATGTTGTAGAGTTTTTCCTGTCGCTCTCCCTTCCCCCCTCCCTCCTCCCTCCTCCCTCCTCCAAAATCCACCCCAATCCTTCCACCTCTCCTCCTCCAGCACTTCTACATCCTCTTTTCACTTTCCCCCTCCTCATCCCCATCTTCCTCCTCGTTCCCGATATCGCATCTCCCTCAGATCTTCTCCACGTAATTGTAAGGGAACCATCCCTCCTGTCCATGCAGCATCCTGCTAGGCACGTCAAGATCAGCGCTGCTTCCTGCTCTCTGCTCACCCCTTCCACCATCCCGTCTGATCCTCCTCCAACACTTCAATCTCGTCTCCCTGCCGCTCAGGTCAGCGCCAGCACAGCCTCTCCTCCTCTCCCCTGCCTTGTTGATCGTCAGCTCGCCCTCGCTCGATGCCTTGTAGGCATGCAAGACGCGCACGCGGTTGGACTTCTGCGGGGGGAGAGGAGGAGGTGTGCGCATGGGAGGAGCCGGAGGGATGGATCGAGGAGGAGCCACTTCCTGCGTCTGACCAGGCATCAGGGTGGAACAGCAAACCTTCCTGCTCACCGGGGCAGCGATGCGCGAGGGAGGAGCGACAGGAGCGACAGGCGTGCTATGATACCCCCCTGCGCGATGTTGAGAAGAGGAGAGGAGGACGAGGAGGCAGGACGAGATAGAAAGACAAGAGGGAGAGAGACGGGGAGGATGGAGGAGAGCGAGGCGAGAGGACGGAGGTGCGAGGGCGAGGAGGAGCAAGAGGTACCATGCGACCCTGCAGATGATGCTGCATGCTCCTGCAAGAGGTCAGCCATGACAGGGCACAACCGCAGCTCCTACCACATCCTGATCGCCGATCGCCGCCTTCACCATGGCGATGATCTGATGGGGAGCGACGGAGACATCAGCAGGAGAGGGAGGGAGTCCTCAGGACAGAGCAGGGGAGCACTGAGGGAGGAGAAGGAAGAGGAAGAGGGACGGGGCGGGAAGCGGGGGCCAGAGGAGGGTACCGTTGCTTCATCATCGTCTCCGCCTCCTCCTGCTGTAAAAGTTCGTCACCGTCATTCATTAGACGCAAAAGTTGACTGACCAGCTGGCTGGAACGCCGGCGAGGTCGCGTATGACTGAGACTTCTCGAGAAACTTGAGATGATCCTATGGAGCCTTGAGGAGGAGGAGCAGGAAGAGAATGAGGGGGAGGAGGATGAGGATGAGCAGCAGCAGCAGCAGGAGCAGAGAAAGAGGAGAGAAAGAGGAGGAGGGGAAGAGAAGGAGAGGAAGAAGAGGAGGAGAAGAGGAGAAGAAGCGGAGAAGGAGTAGAAGAGGAGAGAGTAGGGGTTTAGGGTTGGCATTGAAGCCAAGTCAACCTGATTGACAGCGAGCGGGCGGAGCAAGGAAGGAATCTCGTAGGCGAGGCAATCATCCAATTTCTTGATCTGACTTGGTGGCTCAGCGGGGGCGTCGACACAGGGAGAGGGAGAGGGAGAGGGAGAGGAGAAAAGAGTGAAAGTGGCACAGAGAGGAGGGAGAGTTATAGAGATAGGAGGGAGGTGGGAACTGGCACAGCGAGGGAAGTGTGGTAGAGCCAGGCAGGAAGGAGCAGAGGACAGAACAGAAGGAGAGGAAGGGAGGAAGGAGCAGAGGACAGAACAGAAGGAGAGGAAGGGAGGACAGAACAAGGAGAGTAAGGGAGGACAGAACAAGGAGAGGAAGGGAGCCCAGGTGAAACGATGGAATCACCAGCTCTCGGTTTAACTTCGGGAGGTTCGCCAACGTCCTGCAGCAACAGATCAGCGCTGGCACGTGACTTCTTCGCCATGTCCTCCCCTCCTCCTTTCCCTATGATTTCCCCTGGTCCTGGTCCTGGTCCTGGTCCTGCCGCCCCCGCTCCTGCTCCTGCTCCTGCTCCTGCCCCTGCCCCTGCCCCTGCCCCTCCTGCTCCTGCTCCATCTTCCTATTCTCGTCCTCACCTCCCTGTCCCCGTCCATCGCGTCAGACGCTCCCTGTAAACGTCCGCCTGCAGCAGGATAAGCGTCTGATCCCCGCAGCTGAGAGAACCTTGGGAAAGTCTCCTGGCGATATCCCATGCTCCTGAGCCACTGCCTGGAGGAGGGTGAGATCGGGAGGGAGAAGGAACGTCGATCCGGAGGGATGGGTGCGGTGGGAATGGATGCGATGAGAAGACCGGAAGCAGAGAGGAAGAGGGGAGGGAACAAGATGGTGCAAACGAGAGGAAGTTTGAATGAACAGAAAGATAGCAGAGAGGAGATAGAAGGAAGGAGGGGTGAAGGAGGAAGGAGGGAGAGCGAGGAGAAACAAGGTAGGGGACAGGAGAGAGGAGAGAGGAGAGAGGGAGAGAGGAAGAGAGGGAGAGAGGGAGAGAGGAAGAGAGGAAGAGAAGAAAGTAGAGTAGAAGAGAGAGAGGAGACGGAAAAGGACGAAGGTAATACAGTTGCAACAGGCGTTGCCTTCCTACCTGGAAGATAATCTCGAGATTTCGGAGCAGCTCCTTCTGCCTTTTCTCCTGCAGGCAGAGGAGGTCAGGAGGTTTGAGCAGCAAGAGACTTGAAGGAGCACAACAAATGGACGCAAGGAGGGAAGAGGAGAGCAGAAAAACATTGACGTTAGACAACAAAGGCAGCAAGAGAGGAAAAATGTGAGATGCTCGAAGCGCTAAGCGCTTCCATTTTCCTTCAATCACCTCCTCTCCCCCATACCTTGCCAAACATTGCAGGCATCATCTGTGGATTCAAAACAATCAGCAAACAGCCAGCCCGCGGCCAGGAATTGTTCTCCTCTTCCTCCTCCTCCTCACCTTGCGCAGGCAGGCACAAACGAGAGCGTGGACCTTCGCCGTCCTCGCTCTCTTGACCAGCTCGTTCACTCTGGAGCAGGCACGTTCAGCTGAATTCCTGCTTGGCAAGCAGTGCTGACCTGCGGATGGCTGCGTTCTTTGGGATGTCCCGGAGGTCGCGGAAGAGATCTGCCTGCATGTAGAATTCAAAAACTGGTTCCTTCCTCCCTGCTTCTCTTCACCGTCTCCCTCTTCTAAACTCTCTTTCCCCCCCCTCCCTCACATGCTCCTCCTCTTACTCCCCCCCCCCCCACATCTCCTTCCTCCTTATGATTCACGGCAGGGTAGGGAATCGGAGAACTGAACCTTTTCGCGCTCGAACAGCGCTGCTGATTCCTTTCCAGCATCCTGCGCTTTCACCATCATTGCCATTCTGCAGCACGTCCTGACCACTCACAGCAAACGGCTTGTCCCAGAAGGTAGAGATGTAGACCTTTGGATCCAGTCAGCAGTTTTCTCTACCTCTTCCCCTTCCTCATCCTCGTCCTCATCCTCGTCCTCGTCTTCCTCTATCTCCTGCTCTCCCTCCTCCTCTTCCTCACTCTGGTAACTTCCGGCGTCCTGAAGACCTGCAGAGGCTTGTGAGAATTGACCCAGTTTCTCCTCCTCCCACTCCAACGCTCATGCCCATTGCCTCTTCCTTCCTCTTCTCCCTCTTCCCTCTCTCCTCCCCCTCCCCTCCGCACCTTTCCAAGGGACCACATGAGGGCTCCGTACACCCTCATCAGCTGTTGTGGGTTGACCTGCTCGAGTGAGGGGAGGCGGTAGCAGGTGATGACGTCACCTGATCCGCCTTGTTAAGGACGATGCGAATCTGCGGATACATCAGCAAGAATCGAGGGAGGAAGAGGAGGGGAGAGGCGAGGGTAAGGAGGAGGAGGATGGCAGGGGGGAGCAGGCGGATGGCAGGGATGAGGAGGAGGACAGAGTGGGAGGAGGATCCGAGGGAAGCCGGCGCACAAGGAGGAGTAGGATCGGGCGAGCAAGAGCTCCCACCTTGTCGTCATTTCCTGACAGGCTCTCAATGACGATCTTCAACTCGTCGGATATGTCAAGCTGAGAACGCAAAGCTCGTCAATCTCCCCTCTACACACCCCGCGGCCTCCTCAGTGCCTTGTGGGCATCGAAGAGGATGAGGATCAAGTCAGACCGATCTGCAAACCACCGGCAAACCTGCACGAGGGTTGAGCCTGAGAGCAGGGGGGAGGGGGAGCGAATGCAGCTTACCTCCGCCATGTCGTAGTTCCTCCCGATCCTCTGCTTCTCTCCTGACAGCACGCCAGGGGTGTCGCTGCAGCAAGGACAGGGTTGTCATTCAGCATCTCCAACATCACCATCGTACATGAGCGTCATCGACTCGAGGATCTCAGCGTTGGTCTCAGCACACTGGAACTTCTGCAGAAACGAATTCCCAAACGTCTGCAGCCCTCGGAAGGGTTTCCCAGGGCTCACAGCTACGGCGTTCCCTGCTCGGCACATCAGAGAGCAGCTGGTAAGGAGCCAGCTCAAGTGCCTGGAATGACCCTTTCCTCCTTCCCATGCATGATCGCCTTGGTCAGTCAGTCAGTCCCTTGCCCACACCTTGCCACACTGACCATGAAGCGATCAGTGGTCGGCTCTGGCCCCACGTTGGATCCAGGATATCCGGTGGGAGGATTTCCGAGGAGGTGGTTGATGAATGTCGTCTTCCCGACCGAGTACTGCCCGATCAGCAGCACGAACGGCTTTGCCTGCGCTACGATGAGGACGCGCTGTGATAATAACTCGGACAGCACGACCTCGATGTCTGTGTCGGACATGGAGGCCGAGAAGAAATCGGCGAAGCTGTAGTGTTCCTCGAGCGGAAGGAAGGACCTGATCATGGCATGAAGGCAACCGTTCAGTGAAGAATTTCACAGAAGGGCCCGATAACCTCTTGTAGATGGACCTCAAACTCGCGTACAAGTGCTCCACGTTCTCCTGCACGCTCGAGTTGAGTCTGGCATTACCAGCTCCCTCTGCCCGCCTACCTGCATGTGCGCCCGCCCAGCACCTGCCGCCCTCCTTCCATTCGGCTCCTGGACCGAGGCATGCAGGTCAGGAAAGCGAAGGGTTGCATATCAAGGATACCATCTTGAAGCTCTGCTTGCTGCGATGGAGTTCTTGCCCTCTGTGAGGCCTGGAAGATTCTTCAGAGCAGTTGATGACAGGATCTGTCGTGAACCAAACTATCCCACCATCTCCCATTTCCTACTGCCAAAACATCCCAACTCGATACAGATGGATGCAGACGTTGCCTGCACTTCGAGACAGCCTGGGAATGGAAGCACTCCTGTTCCTAATGGCGCAATCTTGTTGCGTCAAGTCTTATGAGATGTATGATTGATGCTCTTGCTCAATGTTTACCATGAAAGATTCGCTTGAAGCGTTTGCCCTACTGTTCCCTTGCTACTTTACTTGGTCTACTTGCCCAGCTGGAAACTGTTCATGCAAACTCTGTGCCGTCCTTCCTGTTCTTCTCAGCATGCATCCTCTATTCCGCCATCTCCTTCCTGTAGTTTGCAGACTGCGCTACCTCACTCGTTGCCTGCAAGCTCATTCTACACTCATACGTCTATCGCTGGTCTGATCTAGAGCCCTGCTTGTACAATCTTCAACTGAACTCCAATCACAACGTCTTCAATGTCACTGAGGACATGTGGAGATGTGCACATGAGCATGTGTCTACGGTTGCTCTCCTACTACTCCTCCTACTCCTCCTCCTCCTCTGTCTCGCCATCGGCCGTCGCTACTGAAGCCACTTGCGATGCCATACCAACACAATCCGGTCTGTGTAGGGGTGGGGGAGGGTTCTGGGGGTAGGTATTGTGTTGAGAGGAACAGAAGGGGTATTTCAGAAGGCTCAGTAGGGGGTGGTCTGATCGTGTGAGCAGGTGTAGCGTGGTAAAATGGGGGGTAGGGTAGGAGGGAAAGGTGAGAGGGGGTACTAAATAACCCACCCCACAACTAGATCTTTACTCAAAGTTAAGTTAAAAATCAGTACGAGGGCTAGATAATCCGGGGAAGGTGGGTGGTCTTCCGAAGTATCCGGGGTTGTTGGCAGACCGTTGTATGAGACATAAAGGCGGGCGATGGTGTTCCGGTGGACAGTGTCGGCGCTGGTCGTGTCGCTCATCGCGAGCGGCTCAGATGGCTTCATGTTCTCCTCCTCTGTGCCAGGATCTCCTGCTCCTCTCATCAGATCCTCGTTGACTCCCAGGTCCTGGACGAGATCATGGAGTGCGCCTTCGGTCGCTCCTTCTCGAGCTCTTCGTGCACCCCTCCGGAGCTGGGCATGCTCTGCGACTGCTCCCGCTGCGGAGGGGAAGCAGGATGGAGCATCCGGAAACGAGGGACAAACAGCGATCATTGGAGCAGGTCCTACGGGTCTTGCCACTGCTATCATGCTGGCACAAAGGGGCTGGAAGGACATTCACGTCTACGACCGGCTGTCCCCCCCTCCGAACCCTGACGACGACAACGTCTGGTCCGACACAGCCAAGTTCTACTTGATCGGGATCGGTGGAAGGGGGCAGAGAGCACTGAAGAACTTCGGGATCTGGGATGATGTGGACAAATACTGCACTACGGTAGTAGGGAGGATGGATTGGGCCCCTGGAGCAGGAGAAGATGAGGGGATTGAAAGGATCTTTACGGATAGGCCTTACCTGACGAAGGTGATCGCAAGAGATCGGCTCGTAGGAGTTCTCGAACGGATCGTGAAGGACAAGTTCGGTGGACAGGTGCACCTTCACTATGGGAACGAGCTTCGCACGGTGGAATGGAAGGACAAGCAAGGGAAGGGTGGCTGTGAGTTCGAGATCGAGGAGTTCGACGTCGAGAGCTTGTCAACGGTTCGCCCTCCAACTAGCACTGTCACCATCACATCGGGAGAGAAGGAGACAAAGGGAACGGGCAGGATGAAGAAGTTAAATGCCAAGCTCCTGATCGGTGCCGACGGGGCGGCAAGAACCCTTGCAAATGTCATGCAGGAAGAATCAGAAAAGTCGGAGCGCGGGATGTTCAAGAGACCCTTCAGAGTCATTCGATACCCTGACGAGTAAGATCTCCGCCTCCTCCACCACCACCACCACCACCTCGTCCTCCTCGTCCACCACCACCACCTCCTCCTCCTCCTCCTCCTCAGTTGTCTTTCGCTTACGCATTCTGGCAGCAACCAGCGAATCTACAAGACCATCCCCCTCAAGCTCCCCAAGGGCTGGAGGAGCGACCTCAACTACTCCGCCCGCACCCAAGACGGGCGCATCAACATCGACGCGCTCCCCGCTTCGCCTAACGGCGACTACTGCGCAGTCCTCCTCCTGAAAGCAAACGACCCCCTCGCTGCAGCCAACACAGACCCCAAGGAGCTGAGGGCGCTGCTGGACAAGAACCTACCGCAGTTCTCCAAGCTTATCGATGAGGAATCCTTGAAAGCCATCGCGGCGAAGCCGCCATCTCGTCTGCCATCTTTCCGCTACGTGGAGCCCTACCTTCACCGCGGGGACAGCACGGTCCTGCTGGGGGATGCAATCCACACGGTCAAGCCTTACTTCGGGCTCGGAGTGAACTCGGCGTTCGAGGACGTGCAGAAGCTGAGCGAGTGCCTTGACAAGCACGAGAGCTCGGCGGGGATGGAGGGAGCCCTGTCTCAGTTCTCTTCCATCAGAGCTGGGGAGGCTAAGGCGCTCGTGCAGATCTCGAGGGGCTTCGACAGGCCAGGGCTCAAGGGCTTCTTCTCCTTCATCCTCCCCATCATCCTGGACGGCATCTTCAACAAGCTGGCGCCTCAGGTCTTCGGTCAGAACACCATATCTATGCTGCAGCAGGAGGGCATGACATTCCAGGGAGTCAGAGATCGGAAGAGGAGAGATCGAGTGCTTCAGGTCCTCGTCCTTGGAACCATCTTCTTCACGATCTTCAAGGTTGTCTCCGCTGTCGTGCAAGCTCTCCCCAAGGTCGTCCTCTTCGGCATCACCTTCACCTTCCTCGGAGTCCTTGGTGGATTGCAGCTCAACAAGGTCCTGAAGCCTGGAATGTCCACCGCGGACGTTATCGCCAGCACTGAGAAGAAGTATCTTTCCAAGAACAAGCAGCCGTCGAGCGGGACCGTCAACCCAACCTCCGATGGCGCGGCGAAGACTTCCTAATGAATAGTTTATGTATCCCATCTCTAAGTTGCCGCCTCAGCCCTCAAGTCGTCGCTGTCGGAGGTGAATCAGTGACTACAGGCTCCTACTCGGATGGCACTGGCCGGGTCACCGGGCCCGGTCCGGCCGGTGACCGGCGACCGTTCGATCCGGCAGCCGACCAGTCACTGGCCTGCCTGCCCGGGTGCCTGCCCGGCAGCCTGCCCGGCCCGAGAATTTTTTAAGGGATCAGTGCGGGGATGGGGTCGGAACCTGGAGAAAGGAATGGAGCATGTGGAAAGAGCGGGGAAAGAGTGAAGGAGAGTCTGTGTAAGGAGGAAGAGGAGGAAGGGGAAGGGAGGAGGAGGAGGGAGGAGGGAGGAGGGAGGAGGGAGGAGGAGGAGGAGGAGGAGGGAGGAGCAGGGGGGAGGAGGGAGGAGGAGGAGGAGGTTGATGATCATCGGATAAGCAAGAGGGGTAAACAGAGGAGAAACTACAGCATGTCGCCGGAAGAAATCTTGGCAGTGGCAGCCAATGCTGATGGGAAGCAGAAGCAGCCAGAGCTTTTCTTCATGGTGAGTTCATGATGCTTGCATGAAAAGTGTTTCCGCGCCTGAATCACGGTTGTATAGGAGATGCAGTCATTGGTGAAGGGAGGGAAAGCATACTTGAAGGAGTTGGGCTTCAGGGACAAGCTCATCCCACTCTTGCTCTCTTGTATGCGATGGGCCATGGGACCTTTGGCGCGCAATCACTTGGCCGAGTTGATGTGCCTGGTAGGGTCTGTGGAGGGTCGTGCGATTATTCCAATCATTGACGGCATACTGGAATTCTTCAACCCCAACCCAAACAAGCAGAGCAAGGACGAGATGACGCGGCTGAACGCGCTGATCTGCTTGCAAGAGATGGTCGAGAAGCATGGCATGTACATCTCCTCCAAGCTTGGGACAGTCTTTGTGACCTGCAAGGGAGTGCTCAAAACAAGCGAGGATGAGCGTGTACGGTTGGCCGGCAGCGAAACACTGACGCTTGTCATCGACAAGCTAGGGCGGTTCGGGCGATCCTCGCATGAGGAAGCTTTCAAGATAGTGAAGTTGTTGTTGTTCCAGAAGCAAAGCAGCTTGCGGGTAGCAGGAGCACAGCTGCTGTATGCCCTCGCTGTGCACTGTGACAACTGTATCCCGGTGGAGAATCAGGTGGCGAACGTGTTGAAGGTGTTGAGCGATCCGGCATTGAGCCAGACAGTAGCGGTGAAGGAAATGTCACTGATCCTCGGAGACGTCCTGTACAAGATTTCTGGAAACAAGTCTGGGGGCAGCGAGGAGGGGAAGGGGCTGCGCGACAGGTTCGGCAAGCGGCGGGTTGTTGTGGGAGTGAAAGGCGTCCACGACTTCCTGTCAGCCATATTCTGGAAGGACAAGTGCCCACAATTTTTGCGGATCGCCATCACGAGATCCTTCAAGAGGTTCTTCCAGGCGTTCGCTGCCTCAGAATCCTCCACCGAGACTGTACAGAGCGTCAAGTACGTCTTAGACCTCGCCTCCCCCCGGAGCGCCTCGAAGGGGATGGGAGAGGACTCACGGCTCAAGGCCGCGTGTGTCTCAGACGTCTTGCGGGGGGTGAGCACGTCCTTGTCGGAGGATGGCCGGGCCCTCCTCGTCAGCCTCCTCCTCAACGAAGTGATGAACAGAGGACACAGCCTCCTCGGCGAGCATCGGGACCTGTCGCAAGCCGTCGCAGTCACCTGTGCTCTGGGAGAGCTGGCGTACTTGTATAGTGAGATGGGAGGCGTCCAGCCTGCGGTGGAGGTGAAAGACTTCCTATTGAAGCTCTGCGCCGCTCCATGGACTCCAACTCGCGTCGCTGCGGCTGAGGCGATCCGGGCGTACTGCTCCTGCGCACCTGAGTTGCTGCTCCCCACACTGCAGGAATGCCTCAACTTCCTCCATATGGAAGTGGGCCTGACTCAGTCGGAGAGCTCTTCGCAGAAGATCCACGGTCTCTCCTGCTTCGTTGTCACGCTCATGGCGGCAGCTAAGGTGCAGGTACACGGCCTCCCATGCGCTCTGCTGGACTCCGTCATGTCGCTGTCCAAGATGATGCTGAAGGAGGCATTTCGTGCCGCCAACGAGGGGAGCAGCTGGGGTACGAGCAGGTGAGTGAAACAAACGCAGATGATAAGTCTTGAACTCTCCTGTCCTGCTTTTCCCTTCCACGTCAGCACGCTCCCTCCCCTCCTCCCTACTCTCTCTGCCTGCCTGCCTGCCTGTCTCCCACTTCCCTCCTCGTTCCTCATCTCCCTCTCCTCGCACCCTCTCCCAGTCGCTCTTCCCTCCGCCTTCTAGACCCTGACGACTCTCCTCAGGGTTGAGGGAGCCTGGGCGATGATATGTGCCTGTCTCCGATCGGGCTACGACTGGATCGAGACTTACCTTCCGGTGTTGCCGCGGATGTGGGCAGAGCACATCACAGACGCGGCGTCTGGCGATTCGGCATACCGGGAGATGCTGTTGGAGTTCAGAATGATGAGCATGAGCGGAGCGCTGACGAGCATCAGAGTCCTGCTGGCCGAGTGCCCGCAGGCCATCGAAGTCCCGCAGATAGCGCACTCGGTCAAGGTTTCAATCCAGCACGCCCTTCAGTCGGACCTGATCACCAAGTCCCCCAAGCTCCTGCTGGAGTCCTCCAAGTCTCTCGACTTGCACGCCACCAGAGCAGATGGGCTGAAGCTGCGGCTCTTCCAGCTGCTGTGTGTCGCTCCTCTCAGCCTCGTCAAGCATGACGCGCACCTGAGTATCCTCAGAAGAACTTTCCAGGTCATGGGCAGGGCAGCGAGCAAGCGAGGAGCGGGGACGACGCTCGTTGCCGACTTCCTCAACCCGGACGACGACAGCCTCCTCCCTCACGAGATGGCCCGAGAGCCGCAGGCCTGTCCGCTTGATCACTGTGAGGGAAACTTGGGGAACTGGGACGACGATCCCGTGTGCGATGCGAAGATTGCGGAGCTGTGGGATGACGTCAGTCCGTCCGATGACAAGCTGAACTCATCCCTCGTCAACGAGCTGGTGGACGCTGCGGTCAATGTCTTTGTCAGGATTTTCCCCAGCTCGAGCTGGGAGGATCAGAGCGTGCTGATTGTAGCTCTCTCTGAAAACGTCCTGAGCCTTCAGGATGCTAACCATCGCAACGTTGCCGTTCTCAACATCTGCGCCGGGCTGCTGGGGGCGCTGAAGAGCATGGCGGAGAAAGGATCTCTGCTGCCAAACTGCCCAGAGTGGAGGGAGACGATGCCTGCCATCCTCCAGACGTTGCTCTCGGAGGGGAACCTTTTGCTCAAGAGGATCGCAGGAGAGTCGATCGCCCTGGTGCTCCGGCTTTCTCCCGAGAAGCAGATGGAGAGTGCGGTGGCGATGCTGATGAGCCCTCCCAAGGCGCAGGAGGAGACGTTCGCTCTCGGTGCCTCGGGGAAGGCTTTCGCCCTTGGCTGCCTCTACCGATACGTTGGGGGCATGCGATGCAACAGGCACCTCAACCCAAAGTCGACCATCGAGCAGCTGAGCAACTGGATGGGCTCCTCCTCCTCCTCCTCGAGTCTCTGCAAGGCCTGGACAGTCCACGGGATCAGCCTCATCATCGAGTACGCGACGGTAGCGACGGACAACCTCGCCTTCATGGCGCTGGATCTGGTCAAGTTGGAACTGAAGGAGGAGGAGGCCGAGCAGGAACTGGAAGAAGCCCTTCACCCCACGTTCCTGATGTCCGCTGCTCGGCTGAGCAGCGCAGTCATCTCCACCATCGGGCCGGAGATCATGCCGGGGAGCGACATCCTGACTACCATCATGGCGATCGTCGACCAACTCAAGAGGAGCAGGACGTGTGTCTGGAAGGCCTCTTGCCTCGAAGCCATCTCGCTGCTGCAGAAGCTGATCCTCTTCCTCCCCCGCGGCTCGATCCCCTCCGACTTCATCCTCCAGCTCATTCCCTTCCTCAACATGGAATCCACCCTCCTCCACCGCAAGGCGCTGACCTGCCTGCGGCAGACAGCCGACCAGAACCTTCAGCACTTGAAGACGGCAAGGGGACTGGAGAAATGTCTCCTCCGCCTGGCTGACATGGACCAGGATGAGATCGTCCAGGCAGAGACCAAGGAGCTGATCCTGCTGCTCATGCTGCCTCCCTCCTCCGACATGGAGCCGATCGAGTCCTTCATAACGCTGCGGGATGTGGTCACGGGCAAGCATGACAAGATCCTGTTCCACGACAGCTTCCCCCCCTCTTGGGTCCCCTCGTCCTCTCCCCAGCAAGAAACGCAGGAGAAGGTGAAGGAAGAGGAGGAATCCAAGGAGGATCTCTTCGAACAGGAGGACGGGGAGGATGAACTTGAAGGCTCGGATAGCGTGGGAGCTCGCGTGTCCCATCCAGCCGGTGCGTCCTCCTCCTCCTCTTCCTACAGCCCTCGGTGGCAGACGAGGTTCCTTGCTCTCAACTGCCTCCACCTGCTGCTGCGGAACGTTCACGAGGGCGCGGCGGAGGGGCGAGGAGGAGCGGCGCACTTCGACCTCAAGCTTGCTCGAGCGTCTGCTGGGGGAGAGAAGAAGTTTCTCATCGCCCACATCAACTCCATCATATCCATGGCGTACAACGCGATCTCCTCCTCCGTCAACCCGCTGCGGGTCGCTGGCATTACCCTGCTTGAGGTGGCGGTGCGGGTGTTTGCGGCCTCCAAGGACCCGGACGTCGAGGACGATGCTCCCTTGCTAGAGCAGTTCCAGGCTCAGATCAATTCTGTGATCAAGTCAGCGCTCAACGGCACAGCCTCTCCCTCCGTCTCCGTGGGAGCATGCAACGTGTGCTGGGAGCTTATCTCGAGGGATGTGTACAGGAACGAGCCGGACGGCATCCGCCGCATCCTGACCCTCCTCATGCAGTCTGTGGTCCGATCGGTGGCAGAGAGGAATGCCATGTACAGCGACATGGCGTATGCGACTGTGCAGATGACGTTGCTCACGACCCTTGCTCGCCTCCTCTCAGCCCAGTGCAAGGACAGAGCTCTTGTTTCCTCAGCCCTCGCTGAAGATGGGGAGGTGCTGTGCCGGCTGTGGGCGGCGGGGATCCGGCAGCAGGTCAGGGTGAGCATGGTTCCTGTGGAGCTTGCGAACCAGATCACCATCACGGAAGAGGAAGAGACTATCTCAGCTGGAGTGTTCCAGCATGCGATCCATCCTCTCCTCGCCTCCTGCGTCCCGAGCTACTTGCGTGCTGTGGCGACTTTCGTCTCCGACTCGCTCCTCAAGGATGCGCAGCGAGCCCACGAGCTCTGCTGCGAGGTTCTCCTCCTCACTATCGTCCTGCTAAGGTGGATGATCCAGGTCGACTCCAGCAGGCAGACCATCGTGGGCGACCCCGCCTCCATCTGCGCAATCGCTGCTTCCCTGCGGACGCTCTTGACGAGGAGTGTCGTGGAGCGTCTGAAGGAAGGAGGGATCTTGAGGAGGGAGAGAGGAGAAGGGGGAGCTGGTCCGCCGCTCGATGCTGCCGAGTGCTGGCGCATGCTGCAAGGCGTGGCAGTGGCGATGGTTTGCACTCCCTCCCACCTGAGCGTGGCGGACGCCGGGATCGACCTCCTCCTGCACCTCGCCCGGGTCGTCCCGGAGCAGCAGCGTGAGGGGAGGATGGAGGAGGTGGTTGTGGGGACGCTGCTAGCTCCGGTCAACGAGATCTTCGTCGAGGAGGGGAACAGGGGCAGGCGATTGCTCCGCCTCTCCGCCAAGGGGCTGCGGGAGCCCGCAGCCATCTCGAGGAGCGCCAGGGCGTTTGCTGGGATCTCAAGGTAGAAATTTGTTTCCCTGCTGGGGTTCTGCTGAAATGCTCTCCCCTCCCCCCCCCCTGCTCCCCCCCATCCTCCTTCAATCAACTCTGCTCTCACCCTCTCCTCCTACTCCCGATTCTCCCTCCCTTTGCGTTGTGCTCCTCCTCGTTTTCCGCTCGTTCTCTCCGCTGCTCCTCCCTTGCTCACTTTGCGCCAGGTTCCTGCAGGAAGTCAGAGACCCGAGCTGGAGGAGCTTGCGGCGGGTGATCCCTCCAACAGCACTCGCGGCGATCTCGCTGCTGCAGTACGAAACGAGGAAGGAGCTGGAGGCATGCGTTATGACCGTCCTGACCTCGTGCTGCACGGGGCTGGACAGGCTGGAAGGGAAGCAGGACGATAAATCTAGGATGGGAACAGCAGAGGAGGAGGAGGAGAAGGAGGAGGCAGCGAAGGCTCGGCTGGAGCGGAGGAGGTGGAGAGAGTCGCTGGGAGAGTGCCTGCTGGCAGGGCTGTTCGAGATCGTGCAGCACAAGGGGAGGTTGGACAGTCATGTGCTCGAGGCGATCCTCTGCACCGTGACGCTGTCCGTCCCGGACGGGAAGGGAGAGGAGGAGGGGGCGAAGGACGACTTCCGTCCCCTGGAAGTTGCGGTGGTGAAGCTCATCGTATCGAAGCTGCCGGACATGTTTGTCCCCCCCGAGCTCGTTGAGGGAGCGAGGGGGACGGGGAGCAGCGGGATTGCAACCCTCAGGAGGGTGATGCAGAACCTTCTGACCCACAGTACGCAGGTAGCCTCCCCCTCCCCCTCCCCCTCCCCCTCCCCCTCCCCCTCCTCCTTCTCCTTCTGCTGCTGCTTCTGCTGCTGCTACTGCTGCTGCTCGCTCTCCTCCTCCTTCGCCTCCTCTTCCTCCCTTTCCCTCTTCTTCCCCTTCCTCCTCCTTATGGTTATCAACTAACACATCCTTGTGCTCCTCCTCCTCCTCCTCCTCCTTACCCCTGTCTGATCTCTTTGTGCCAGGGCTCTGCTCGGAGGCAGCACGGTGAGCGACTGTTGACAGCTCTTGCTCCTCATCTCATTCGCTACAGCCTCCATTCCAAGGTGAATTCTCCTCCGTTATCCTCCCCTCTCATATTGCTTCCTCCTCCCTCCCTCCTCACATGCTACAACCTCCCTCCCTCCTCCCTTGCTTCCTTCACGACTCCTATTCTCCTTTTCCTCCTCTCCTCCCCCCTCAACCCATTCGTCTCACCCTTGCTCACTCCGTCGCCCTCGTCTCGTTCAGGAGCGGATCGCAACCGAAGGGGAGGAGGATCCAGCAGCTGAAAGCATCAAACTCATCGTCCTCTGCCATGCCAGCGTCTCCCCTGAGCGCAAACAGCAGGCGCTCAGCTCTATCCTCCCCCTCCTCCTCCTGTTCACTCCCGACCCGGAAAGACCAGGCGAATCCGAGCTACCCAACAGCCTACAAGACCTCGTCCTGAAGACGATTGTGGTAGGGAAGAGGGAGGAGTTTGGAGGAGAGCGGGAAGTGGTAGGGAGGAAAAGAGCTCAGCAGGAGCAGGAGCAGGAGCAGGAGCAGGAGCAGGAACTTTTGTAGGAGGGCAGAGAGAAGGGAAAGAGAGGAGGACCAGGAGCAGGAAGAGAAGGACGAGAAATGCTTGGTCACAACTGAAGTATATTCTCGCAGGCGCTCGCAAAGACGAATGCAGTTCCGTTTAAGGAGGAAGTGAGCAAAATGTCAAGTCAGATGCAGAAACGATTGCAGGTTCTTCAACACTCCTCCTCCTCCTCCTCCTCCTCCTCCTTTTCTCCTCCTCCTCCTCCTCCTCTTCCTCCCTTTTCTCCTCCTCCTCCTCCTCTCCTAGCCCTCCTCTTCCTCTCCTGGCCCTCCTTTTCTCTCTACCTCCTTTCCCCTCCCCTTTCTCTTCCTCCTCCCGGTCTTCTAGAGCCTCCTGACTCTCCCCAACCAGCTCGCCATGCAGAAGGCTGTAGCCCTCGGGAGATAGAAAGCCGACAGCCATGAGAGCTCGAGGAGGAGAATGCTCGGGAGAAAGAGGAAGAGACTGGACGTTAGGAGAGAGCGCTGTTGAGAAGAGGAAGCAGCAACGAGGGGGAGGAAGATAGGGAGGCGAAAATGGAGGAAGAGAATGAGGAAAATTAAGGAGGGGAAGGAGGGGGAGGAGGAGGAAAGACGGGGAGCTGTTCTTAACTCCATTATTATTTTGTACATGAAGTCTGTCGTGTCTCATCTCACGACGTGGCGGAGGAAGGCGAACAGGTCGAGGTAGAACTCCTGCATCCAGCGAGCTGCAGTGAGGAGGAAGGAGCCAGATAGAAGGTGGAGCAGGGGCAGGGGCAGGGGCAGGGGCAGGGGCACAAGCAGGAGCAGTAGAAGGGGCAACAGCAGAACCTTCGCTTCCCATGTCCAGCTGGTCGGCAGGAGGCTTCCAACTCCAGCATAGCCGAAGTTCCAGCTGCACGGCAGATCACGAGGAGGAGGAGGAGGAGGAGGAGGAGGAGGAGGAGGAGGATTTTCACACCCGATGCAGGCAAGGTGATCAAGATCTGTCATCTGACCCAGGTAGTTCCACACGCCTGAAGAAGAGGGAGAGAGGGAAAAGAGGAGGAGCATCAGGATCAGGAGCAAGAGGAGGAGGAGGAGGAGAAGGAGCAAGAGGAGGAGGAGGAGGAGGAGGAGGAGGAGGAGGAGGAGGATCAGCAGCAGCAGCAAGAACGAAGAGATAGTGAGACGATCGATTCAGCGCTTCTGCTTGCCAACCTGCACGGATCTGGCAAGAAAACGAGAACTCCTTATCTCTCCACCACAGCAGACCCTTCGATCCGAACTTTGCGGCATCCTCTCCATTACAAACATCATCTACCTGCTGGGAGGTCAGGTGGAAGGAGGAGAGCAGCTCTCCTCGACCTCGGTAGCCCTCGAGCACAGCTGCCAGTCCGGGGAGGGGAGGGGATTGGAAGGGAGAACAATCGCCGTTTCGTCGCTACTCGACTTGTAGCAGAGAGACGGCCAACGCGTGGAGATGCTGAAGGAGACGACAACGAGGTGGAGAATTGGCAGAAAAGGAGGAAAGAAGAGGAGAAGTGGAGGAGGAAGAGAGGAGGAGAAGGGAAGACGAAGGAGGAACGAGGAGCAGAGCAACAAGGGCAAGAGAGATAATCAGGGAGGAGAAAACAGGTTGAACAAGAGGAGTCTCCTCACGTAGAGACAAGACCGTCGTTGCTTCTCCAGCCCTTGTCGATCCTTGGGCAGAGGCTGAGCAGGGAGAGGTCAGAGAGTCGCTGGATCTGTCAGCCTGCCGAGGTATCCCTACCGATCCCCAGCTCTTGATGCACATCCCAGCAGGGTCCCAGGCCCCACGAACATCTGAAGGAAGGTGAGAACTACTTGTGCCCGTTTCCCGTCCCATGGTCCCTCGCAGCCCAGCTCCTCCTCCTCCTGCTCCTGCTCTATTCCTTGGTAACCTGCTCCTGCTCCTGCTCCTGCTCCTGCTCCTGCTCCTGCTCCTACTCCTGCTCCTGCTCCTGCTCCTGCTCCTGCTCCTGCTCCTGCCCCAACAACATGCTGCCTTTTTTAACTCACAGGATTTGTCGACAGGAGGGGAAGGAAGGCTTCTCCGAAGGAAAACGGATCCAGGTATCTGCAGAGGAGGACGAGAGAGCAAAGAAATAGGAAGATGACAGCCAGAAGGAGGAAACATGTAAGGGAAGGGAAGGGAAGGGAAGGGAAGGGAAGGGAAGGGAAGGGAAGGGAAGGGAGGCAAGAGACGGAAGGGAGGAGAGAGAAGCAAAGCAGTATCAGCGCTCCCTGTTGCTATCGCGAGAACATCTCACGTTGTGCAGGAGGAGAGGGAGAAGTAGTAGACGGATGGAGACTCCTGGTGGTAGAGACGCTTCAGGGACTGGAGACGTGGGAACAACCTTCTACTTGGATCCATGAATTGAGCTCCGCTGAAGAACAGTGTCAAACGTCAGGAGGGAAAGGGAGAGGAGGAGGAGATAGTCGAGGGGGGTAGGGGAGATCAGGTGAGATGGGACAGAGATCGGAGGGAGAGAGAAGGGAGGAGTGAAGAGAGGAGAGAAAGGAGAGGGGGGGAGGAAGGGGAGAGGAAGGGGAGAGGAAGGGAGAGAGAAGGAGGGGAGGAGTGGAAGAGGAGGAG